TCTAATCTGTGATATGCTGAAAAACCAAATTTATGAAACTTAGTTCACAGAGTAGACAGAAAAGTTACAAAACACACACTAAACTGTGTTTTATGCCCGTTTATCTATTTAGCCTGTAAACTGGGATTAGGATAATTAAACACTGACAACATCCAAGTCTCTGCTGAGCTGCTGAGATTTTTGGAAAATATATATTTTAAAAAGTGCTTTTAAAAAAAGAATTGTGCATATGGCTGGCAGTGACATGGTAACTTACAGCTCTCGTACTGAATATCGACAGGGAAACTACAAACATTTGGAAAATCTCCTAATACCGATAATAAAAGCATAATCTGCAGTTTATGTGTAAACAACAGGAGAGATTTAATGGGCTTAAAGCATGAGCCGACAAGCAAATCCTTCGGGCTGCCAAGAAACTGATGGTTTCTGGCACGAAGCACCAAAAGCTGGATTCCTCTAAATCCAAGTAAAACTTCTTAGTTGGATAAAAAAGTGATAGAAAATATCAACATTCACTCCCCGTGAAAACGGAGGTCATCTTAACTTGGGCCTTATAGTGATTAACTTCTTTTTGGGGACTGGACCAATAGTACAAGATACAACAACACTGTTTCACAGAAGCAAGACTTGCCTGGAAAAGCTTCAAATTTACAGCTTTTTTCTGATTAAAATGAGAGATATTGGCCCAGATATTAGGCCCACTGTCGTTTGTATAAATGAATGAGCAAATTACAAGGAAGTCATGTTTTTGTGGATGTCAACAAATCTCTGGAATAGTTTTGTCTGGATTTCTGACCACTTTTTGCTGGAAGTTCTTGAGTTATACACTGGGATGGTCCCTGTGATGCATTAAGTTTTTACATAAAGAACAGATGTGTAATTGAGAAATGCCCCTGGCCATGACGCTGCCACCGCCTTGTTTTACAGTTCGTACAAGCTTTGGAAGTCTCTTCTTGACATTTTATATCATTTTGGCCAAACCACTCAGCTTTTTCCCACAAAGCATTTGGCTTTCCCATGAGGGCAGCTGCAGTTATGCAGCGAGTCAAACTGAAATATAAAAATTTTAGAGTAGATGGTTCTTATTTTCTTGACAGACTGAATCCATGTTGATGTTAAATTTGAGTCACTGTGACTCAAAAGTATCTTTTACTTTGTACCTCTGAGGTTCCTGGGTTGTTATTTAACTTTGCTTTTATGTAAAAATATAAAAATGACAGTTTAGATATGATGGTTAAAATATACACAAAACTGGTTGTTCCAAGAGGATAAAGATGCCCAACACACATCACTAATGGATTTTGATGGTTAGCGCAGAATGACATTAAGCTTCTAGGTTTTCTCCATATTATATAAGTCTTCAGTCAGAGGTTTCTTGAGACGACCTGTAACACAGACTGCTACAGGAGATCCTTCCTTCACACAGCCATCAGTAGCTACAATGACTCTTTGAAGACAATTATATTAGTTTTTATTTTGGGATTATAAATACCTACATATTTGAGCCTGAATGTATAATTCTGACTATGTGTGGAAAAGGGAAAACTGCATGCAAACCTTTGCTCTGGAACATTGATTAATTACTTTTATATGAATATTTAATCGATAAATTAAGTTGAAACTGTTCATGAAGACTTGATATGGTGACTGAAAGCAAATGAGATGACTGAGGTAGAGCCTTAACCTTGAAACAATGTCGAACTTACATGTGGGATTTCAGTCATACTGCAGCTGAACTACATTTTGGCATTTTTTAAAGACACACTAATAAAACTAAGGCTTCCCTGGGGAGCATCTGGGCTGAAAAGGTGCCGCGGTGAATGGGTCATCCACAGCTTTTCCCACAATGGTCCAGGAATGCAGAGGGCCCACTGCCACTGAGCCCACGGCGGCCTGCCGACCGATCCTGGAGACGACTCGGTGCACTGCCACGGGCTGCTGGAGCAGAGGGGTCTCCGTGTGCAAGAGGGCGACAGGGTGACACTTTGTGCTGTTTCTCACTTGCTGAGTCCCGGACATGAATGTGTGAGTGTTAGCAGGAGCAGCTCTGTTGGTTTCCTGCCGCTTCCCAAACGGTGCCTGCAGGAAAACATCTGATGCTACAGCAGAATTATGGGATGCGGAAAAGGCGGAGACTCTGCATGCTGTCCCGCTTTCTTTCCTTTGCGGTTTAAACGGGGCCAGCTGGAAGACATCAGAGACGATGGCACTGCTTGGAGGAGGGTTAACAGGTATGAAATGACGGTGGGAGCAGGGAATGTGTGCAGGGCGGGGCTGAGCGCCACATTCGTCTGACAGCAACATGTGTTTGTTGGGGACACATGCAGCAGAGCTTTGACGGATCTTCTGCGCAGGAGCTGCAGACTGAGCAGAGTGAAGTTTGAAGAGCTCCCTCTGCAGGTCTGTGTGCGCAATAACAGAGAGAAAAGTGAGATTCTATTCTCTGAAAGTTTTGCTCAACTTACATTGTTTCTTAAAGAATCCCTAAACTAGAAACAAAAAGAATCTTGCAAGAAAAACACAAAACAGATAAATACAAATAAATGTTGTGATTTTTAAAAAATCTGAAGGATTCAACTCATCACAAACATTTTCACATAAATTTCAAAGAAAAGCTGAACACAAATTTACTGAGTATTTAATTGATAATTTAACTTATTAATATTGAACTGAGGTCCAAGCTGCTTCACACAACTTTTAACTGTGACACAAACACTGCACATTCAGAGTCTTACCTGTGTAGATTTACAGGACAATCCAAGCAGATTGTGAGTAATGTGACAATATTTAAACTGTTTTTCATCTTTGTCCAACAACAAAAATTCTCTCAAAGAAATAAAATAATACAATTATTTTCAAACTGCAAAGAAAAAAAACTATATATATATATGTATATATATATATATATATATATATATATATATATATATATATATATATATATATATATATATATATATATATATATATATATATATATATATATATATATATATAAAGAAGAGCACAACTTCACACAGTTATGCACACAAAAGTTCTCAATCTTCCAAAAGAAATCTGAGTTAAACAGAGTGGTTGTGAAAATATTCACACCCCTGTAACAATTTAATTTTGTTAACATTACAGCCATAAACATAAACAAAGCAGTGCATATTTTTCTGATGTGGAGGGAAAAGTATACTTGTCTTTTAAAATGTTTCATGCACAAAAATCTGAAAAGTGTTATGTCTCTTTTTCTCATACAAAATAAAATACAGTGGGATGAATAAAAGCAAATTTTATTGCTCCCATCAGTGAGTGTGGATGCTGTGCATGGGTTTAATAAAGCAGGTTAGTATGATAAAACATTATCACAAGCTTTGAATTTTTTATGCAGCACTGTTCAATTTAAAAGCTGAGGTGAAATGCCTCGACGTCAATACAACCAAGACATGGCTGTCCAGATAAACAGACGGACTGGACATGGACAGTGTTTCTCGAAAGAAGGAGCGCTGGTCAGATGGGATCTTAATCTTTCTTTCTATCCAACATGTAAATGTGTATTCGATGTCAAGAGTTTCACCTTCCAGGAGGAAGATGAAAACACAGAACGACCATGCGATGGTTTAATATTCAAGTGTTGGAGTGGCCCAGTCAAAGTCTAGACTAAAATCCAATGGAACATTTTGAGCTATAATTGTTAAAAGCTGCTGAAAAAATACTCTAACAGACATTCAAACATTGTGATTTTATATTTTCCTGCTTCCGTCAATAAACATGATGTTAAATTAATCTGCAGACTCCCGTCAAAGAAACCCAGCAAATCATTTGGCCCAGAAGTTCCAGTACAACTACAAAGGCAGAGCCACACAAGCTGTTGAATTTCAACAACCTGATTCTCTCATTTTCCAAAAGTGGAAGAAAACTGGCCAAGGTTGGAGCAAGATTATGATTTATTCACTGCAGCTGCACACAGGGAAAAATCTTGTCTTCAATCCAGCAACATAGAGGAAGTAGACATTTCCATATCTACCTAAAGTAGTGTCAGCAGAGGGTGCCATTACCACACCAGCAGAATCCAGGGAGGATCTTGAGGAAATTTAAAGAGATATGCAAACCTGAGCGTAACACCATAATGAACAGGCATTAGTTTGAGAGACAGAGCTAAAACTAGCTAACGTTCTGCGCTAATGTAACAACAAAGCAAAACCACTTCTGCACCTAAATAGGCGACACCCACCAGTGAGGAAGCTCTACATTTAAGTCACAACAGAAGAGCTGAATGTAAAGTGAAACACTCAGTCAAAGTCAGGAAATTCTCAGAGTGATTTGCAGAATTGAGAAGGTGGACATCTGGGAGCACATGAACAGCTTTTGGACAACCAGCTCATAACTGGAGAAAATATTATAATTTCAAAAAAGAAAGCTGGCCAGCAAAACCAAGCGAGTCTGGAAGTCAAGTCAACTAAATCTGAGCTTAAACGGCCTCAGATTGCACATTTACCAACGAAGGTTTGACATTACACACGGGCTGACATTTAATCTGCGCAATTTGAACACATTCACAGCAAAACAGAAGGAGAGAATGAACAACAAAGTGCTTGGGTTCAAGAACAGGAGAGGAGTGTAATGTCTTACAGAAAGTCTTACAGAAAGCGGTGTTGGTATTCTTTTTCTCCAACTTGTAAATCCGTAGTAAAGCACTTGAGAAAACTCACGTAACTTGATTAGGTTCATGCGTGCAACGCTGTGATCTCATCTGAAGAGAGTACCTCTTCAGATGAGATGCTCATTTCGATAAACACAATCTGAAATTAATTTATGGAAACCACATCATGTAGTGTATAGGGTCTACTTTATGTTGCTCCATGACATAAGATCCCAATCCAAGGTTGAGGTTTATGGTTGTAAAGTGACAAAATGTGGAAAAGTTCAAGGGGTATGAATAAATCTACCAAGCTCTGAAATCTGAAACACAGACCAACAGTGTTTGAGAAATGCAAGAATCAATAGTCAAAAAGTCAACATTCACATTTGTACTTTATTAGCCATCCCTTTATAATTCTTAAATTATCTCACAAAAATAGGAGCACACAGTATCACAGCTCTGACGCAGGGTTGGGTCATAGTGACAAGGAGGCATCTCAAAAACACTTGATAATGTCACATAGCTGACTGTTTTCATTTTGGGGAAAATGACAGAAAAAAAACAAATCTGGGGCTTCTGTTTCTCACCAGCTACTTGCCTTGCTTGGCTTTAGTAAATACAACAGCACACTAACGCTTACAGGGAAAAAGCTTGGGGACTTGCATAGGTTCAGACAGTAACTGCAGATGACTGACGTTCAGCAGGAAGTTCAGAAACGGGATCATTGGGTATATTAAGCCTCAAAACTGCACATGCTGCAACACCGCTAAATATAACAAGGCTTTTAAGATGGCTTCTTGTGATTGTTTTTTACTCAAATCTTCTGCACCATAAGGGAAATGTTATTAACAACTCAGTAGCTCACTCCATACTGTATCCTTTTGGCACAAACTTTAGATTCTGGGCTTGATATTCCTACGCTTGTCACTTAAAGGAGATCTATTATGCTTCCTTGAGCAGGTTGGGATAGGCCTATGGGTTGCACAAAATATGTTTGTTAAATTTTTTCATACAAAGTGATTCTTAAATTATGAGATTTTAGTATGGTGTCAGGTTCTTTCTATTTTGAACTCCTTTCAGAACGAGCTGTTTTAGGGCCTCTTGTCACATTAAATTCATGTATATGCTGCTGCTGGTCATGCCCTCTAACTCTTGTGAAAATGCCTACAAACAGATGCGCAATTATACAACCATACAGCTTTGAAAAGCAGAAGTAGAGCCTCCTGCACAACCAACAAGAACGCATCAAGTGATTTGGTTGACAACAAAAAACGTGTCTTTTTCAGCAGCCATTGCACGGCGCGTTCAGCGGTAAAACCAGCTCATCAAATGTGCTGGAGCTCCAGTCGGGTCGCTATGTGACATGCTGGGCTTCACTGGGCAACAGCACAGCGTTTGTTGAATGTGACTCGAATGTAAAAATCAGGAGGCTCATTTTCCAGACACCAAAGAACATTAGCCGGTTTTCTTGAGCTCTTGGTTTTTAGAAGCAGTTGTAGCCATTAAAAAAAAAAAAAAAAAAAAAAACGGAAACTTGGAACATGTGAGTTTTGCATAATAGCTCCCCTTTAAATGCTAGCTATATTTAAAATAATATTGCACGTGGATTGTTGAAATATGGCCAACTAACTTGTTAAACTTGGGCACTTTATTTACATAAAATATGGATAATTCTAAATCTCTTTCTCCAAAAATAAAACTTGTGCTTTTTTAATTCTGTTTTTAAAATAAAATAATAAACAAGTGAAAGTAGCCATTTTCATTGTAATCATGTATCACAAGCATGAGACCATTTATTTTATCCTACAGAAACATCTATACAGTTCTGACCTTCAGTAATGTTCATAATGCTGCGTGATAATCAGACTTCAGCCAGAGAGCTGGACCTTCAGACTGCCACACTCCACAGAGCCCCGAAGACATAAAATACAAGACGAGCGTTGTTTCTGTAAACTGTAAAAATAAACACATACTTCCGGAGAACGGGAGAGCAGTAGGTCAGCGAGCTGCAGGAGATGCAGCTCTGACCACCTGAGAGAATTTAGGAGGAGGGAAGGGGTCTGTGCTTTCAGAGGAGATTTAAGGACAAACTGACCAAATGCCATTTCTGCAGCAAACAAACAACAACACAAGAAGACTACTGGAAAAAAACACTTCAGAGTCCACACACGCACACTTATCAGAACACTGTATACCAGCGCATGGGATTGTAACATTCAACAACACTGCCATGCTTTTTGATATGAATCCTGTGATCACTAAAATGAGCCAAGAAAAAGCACAAAAAAAAAAAATCTAATGAAATGGGGCCAAAAATTCTCACAATTAAACTCCCCCTCTGTACACTTTCTGCTTTGAATAAAAAATATAATCGTCCACCTGTCCATGAGAACAGACACAACAGATTCACTTTTTTTTTTAACTTGAGTGGGATAAGACACGGGTTCGGGCCAAATCTTCCAGGCTGGACGGAGACCATGGTTAGCATCTATACATTTTAACTGTTTCAGAGCATTTATAACCAAGAAGAAAAATAAAAAGATCACATGTCTGCACAGAGGAATGACATTTTCAGATACTCTTTAACATTATCGAACAATTATGATGTTAAGAATCATATATAGATTTTTAATATAGACTAATATTTATTTCTTACATTCAATCTCTAACACTCTATTCATATTAACATGTATTAACAAGAAAACAATGTCATATATATATCTGTATATATATGACATGTACATCAGATTCACACATAAAGCAATATGTCTTCCACATGTAAAGCTTTATGACAATGACTTCATATATACGGTCTGGATAAGAGTCTGCAGAAATCTATTTACATAAATAAGGAGTAAACAAATGTGAGGAATGTAGGAGGGATTGGACAATGTGGACTAAATGTGCGAAAACAAAAGAGCGAGTGTGTGAAAAATATTCGTCTAATGAGATTTCTGTCAGTGCCATGAAATGATTGGAAAGTGTGTATATTTATATTTGCTACTTTTTATCTGCTAGGTCCTATTATTGTTAGTTTATCACATTATTATCAAGATTTCATGCATTTCTATAGAGATGGCACGCTGCTATAGACACACTGACTTCTGAGTTAGTTCCAACATGACCTTCCTTCAGGAAAACAACTTAAAATCTTCATCTTAAAAAAAGCAAAGTGGAAAAGACAAGAGCAAATATTATTCATACTGAGTGGCCTGATGTACAGCACCGTGTACAAATGTTGGCATGTCTGGTAAAGATGAAAATTAATTTATATGTTTAGGGCTGTTGTAAACGAATATTTTAGTAATCGCGTAATCTGCCAATTACTCTTACGATTAATCGAGTAATCGGATTAAAATAAAGATAAAATAAAACATTGGTAAATCTAACATAACAGCAGTATTACTATCAGATATTAACATCACTCCAGTTTTTTACATTTGAGCTTGTAAAACAATAACTTTTCTGTAGTTTCGAAAATTAACTCATAACAATAACAGCTCACTTTCTAAGTTGACCTGAAGAAAATTTATACAAAAATTATATTCAGTGAAATAATAAAGAGGCAAATACACTTATGAAAAATGTCTGTACTCCAGCTTTTCGTTTCTGTGTACATCTTCAGTTGTTTTAATAAATTAACTCTCACCTTGCCCAGACATTTATAGCTTTTGTTTTCTTGTTAGCGACATTATTTGACTCCGTTTGTCACACACAGAAACATCTACCAGCTACATGCCGCCGCTATGCGCTCCGCCACACATTTGTTGAGACCGAGATGATATGTAAATAAATTTTTTGATTCGTCCGTAAAGCTGCACTTAGGTTAATCATCTAAAGCTCAGCCGCCAACAGTGTTCAGTCTATCCGCTCACCTGCATAAATACAGGTAAGCGGTCTTCCCCGCTGTTCGCTCTGAACTGGCCACTAGGCAGCAGCTCCGGGAGGAGAAAAGCTGCCCTACTCCAGGCATCGCGCCAGTCATTTTAAGGATGCTTATTTGTCCCTGAAAAACGACAAAGACTCATATGTTATCATGAAAATCTTTCCAGGCTGAACTTGAAAACTGGACGTTATGCTGCTTATATTTAGCTTCGTCAACAACTCAGGCAGAAATGAGAGTGCTTCGCAACGCAAGTAATAACCTCACCGGAATATGGTGCACTGAATAATAAAACATAAATTAACGAAGCTTCGAGACAGATTTTCATCGAGGCACTCCAATCACTTGAGGAATCGTTTCAGCCCTAAATATTTTACTGCAGTAGCATGATCCCAACAGAAAAATTTTTGAAAAGTCCAACTTTAAATTTGAGTTTTTTAGTGAGCGAAATATCCCAAGAGAGTAAAGTATATTTAATGACAAAAAATGGCATCTCAACCAATATTTGTAGTTTATACTTTAATATTGTCATCGTACCTCTGAGATTTTGATTGGTAATACATGTTTTCGTTTTACTCAGGTGAAATGATGATAGAGTGGCAAGAGGCAAAAATGTTACTACTTTTAATAATGGGAAAGACAAGAAAACAAGCTATTCAAATGGGACAAAATGCATCTTGATCTTCTAATGTTCAAATCAGAAAATTGCTGTCTTAATAAACTCCAAACAGTATGGCCAAGATATTCATCGTAGATTTTTTAAATGTTTGATCCCAGTAAGCAGAACATGCTAATTGCAGTCAGAGCAACAATTAAACGTTTAATACGACTGGGTGTGTGGCAAATAAGCCAGGTACTCAAGCTAAACTTTCCACTTCACAGGCAGGAAGGAAGAAACATATTTATTTGAGAACTTTTTAAATCAAAATCATTACTAAGGGAGTCAATAATTATGGAGTGTGTCGTGCTTTGTCTTTGCTTTGTTGTTCTTGTCACTTTTCGGGTTACTCTATGGCACTTTAACGTCGTGAGTAATGATTCATGTTTCTGTTTTTCATGCAGCTTTAAAGTCGTACAGATCTTCCATCCCTCAGCTCAAACAAGTCTAACATTTATGCATCTGTGTGCAAATCAGGCTATATGACATCAGATTCAGAGATGTTTGGCTTTGTTAATTCAAATAAACCTCATCTGAATGAACGTTCAGCAAAATTTTTCATGTGTTTTTTTTTCTGTGCAAATAAACTCAGGGAGGAAAATCTAGGAAGGCAAACCACGACAAATTCACTTGTGCACAAGAACTACAACCACTTAAAACTATGGCTATTTCACATTACGACAATTATCTTTTTTTGTTTGCTATTAGACAAAATGCGGTATTCTTCAAATAAACTGATAACTTTTATCCTGATTGACAAAAAAAAAAAAAAGTATCATGACTAGTGTTTAAAATGGACGGTGAACTGGCTGCTCGTTCTCGGTGGATCATACATAATGCCTGGCGACTAGAACAAAGCTGAAATGTTAGTGTGAAGATGAGAGACGAAGAGATGGCGGATGCTGCTATCGATGAAAGAAAAGTAGGAATGAAGAAATGCTGACAGGTGAGGGATGTTTCTAAAATGAAGGGAGGAAGTCAGGGAGGGGTGCAGGGAGCTATCTACGTCTACACGGCTGATTGTTGTTATGCTATGCCGGACTATTATCCAGAGATACAGCTTCTATGAAGGAGGAAGGGGGGGCCATCTACAAGTCGATGAGCTGGTCCACCAGCATCAGGGAGCGGGCCAAGCTGGGCAGGCTGGATTCAGAACCACCACTGTTACTGCGCGAGTGGCCTCCTGAAACTGGCCGAAGAGACAAGGGGAGGGGAACGAGACGAGTACGGGCAAACAGAGGTGTGGTTGGAGGGAAGCACAGGGGTGGGAGTCACAACAGGCAAGGAAAACAGTCAAAAAGGAAGGAGGGAGAAGAAGGAAGAATAAATTTTTTTTACCCATTTACAGCTACAGCTTTTCCAAAAATTGCATCCCTACGTTTTTATTTGACCTATTTCATTTCAAAGATGACTTCAGCCACATAAGGCTTTCTAAGAATAAAAAACTTTAATGGCGTACCTTGGGAATTCTTTCGCCCTGTGACGGGAATAGGATCAAAGTCGTCCTCTTTTGCAGCCTCCGCACTGGCCGACTGGGCCTCAAAGTCCGAGATCAAGAGAGACGAGTCTGAAGATGATAAATAAAGCTCAGATCAACAGGGAAACGTTTGAAGGAAAACAATATAATGTAGAGGGCCACTGGGATGATGTTTTATTACTCCAGCAGCATAATGATGCCTCCTCCACATATAAATATGCACAGCAATTACAAAAAAAATTCCTTCTTTCTCTAAAATGATGCACTGAATCCAGGCTTTTTAAGACAAATAGATCTGCTGCTCTGTAAACATAAAAATTACGTCTGACGGCACATTATGAGAGGGAATTGGTGATTTGCAACCGGAGTCAGCTGCTGCACACAGTCAGGCTGTGATTCAGAGTTGGCAGAGTCAACACCATTTAAATACTTTTGTTCTGCAGCCAAGAACTGATAACCCCAGCTGTGCAGTTTTTAATTTGAGAGAGACAGCACAATTTTATAGACGACTCCTGACAGCCCAGGAACACTCTGCTACGTTAAAGACTTTAAACTTGATTAAACTGATTGAAAACTCATTATATAGGGAGAATCATTACTCTAATGTGAAGAAAAATACCCTGACTTTGAAAGAGTGAATCAAAAAAGTTTTACCGTTAGGGAGGTGCGATGATAAATGATATTAAAATATTGAAGGATGTTTAGTAAAGCTGTTGGTCTGAATTCAAAAATTATTTAGTTCTGGAGGACAAAATAGAGCAAAAATGTCACTGTTTGCTGAAATTTTCTATTTGATCCAAAATCCCAAGAGTGGAATCATAACAGTTCAATCAACATTTCTAAAAGGTTGGCGTCGATATTACACTCGAACTCAAGGTCTCATGAAGCGAGCCTACTCCCTTCAGATCTATGAGGGAATATAATGAATTGAGATGTCAATTCGTGTCATGATGGAGGTGCTCCTCAAGCACAATTTATCAAGTCTAAAGATTGCTCATGTCAAATTAACGATTCCTCCAGTGAGAGGAGAAATGAACAACTTATCTGCATGCTCTGAAAGCGCACTCTGCCGTCATTTGAGCAAACCAACTCGCGTGAAGGAAAAGGACGAAATGATCCTCAATGGGGAGTGTGTGCTGGTGTGTTTATGGTTGTGGAATTATGATCTTAAAGACTCTAAGACTTATTTGAAAAAAAGAAATGGTTTCACCTAAAGTTACAGGACAGTTTAGCAAACTCAACATGTTTGTGTTTGTGATGGTAGGAAAGAACAAGCCTCACACACTAAAAAATATAATTATGTAGGTGATGTTTAATGGTTGCTATAGAGACTTTGCATTGTCACTTTAGAGTCGCCTCCACATGAAGAAGATGGTTCCTCGTTAAGCTCAGTGACCATTGGCTGAAATTTATGAGCCTGAATCGCATCGTTTTTATACCCCATATTTAAAAAAAATTATCACTAATTTGTAAATAAAAAGTTCTAGAGACTCTGATCAACGTCAAACCAGCATAAATTAGAAACAGTTACTGTACACTTATTTCAAAGGATTACTATGTTAACTAACAAAAAAAATCCTAAAATAAGACTTTCTTTAATCCTAACTGAATAAATATTCTTCAAAAAAGGATTGGATTTGGTTACATTGTTTGGTGTGAGATTGCATTACTGCAATATACATAATTTATCAGATTTTTTAAACCCACTTAGGAATCAAAAATACTTGGCTAGAGAAGCAGCATCTCATCAATTGGCATCTAATCCACTGGTGTTGATGCATTTCTACCTCTGAGAACCTACATATTGTAAATTATTCAATACCAGGTTACTGCTTACTTTCTTCATAGTTTACTCTTTAAAAAATCTGAATCAATAGTTCTTTCTTTATAGGATAGAAACAAGCATATCAGAGCACATCTGTCAAAGGTATTGATACTTCACTGAGTGACTTTAAATCATCACCAAGCAGAGTATGTTTACAGGCAGGAGCTTTTTACCCCCTTTCGGCTGTACTGAGTCTCCAGACAGCAGGCTGAAATCATCCAGAGTAGAGGTGGCGGAGGTGGGAGCGGAGGAGGCAGAGGAGGCGGCGCTGCCCGGTGCAGCGGGTGGTCCGGAGATGAGAGACCCGAGGAGAGAATCATCTGCAGTGAGAGGGTCTGGGACGGGTGGCAAGAAACCAAACCAAAAATCGGCACAAAAATGGCATCTAGTTAAAAAAATATCTAAATTCTCACTTTGATATGTTTCATAATTTTACATGCTTGTAAAAGATATAAGCTGTTAAAAGTCCAGTTTTTATGCTGTATGTTTAACGTTTATAGAATAACAAGTGATAATGTGGAACTATATGGCCACCAGGGGCAGCAGAGAGACAAACTAGGAAAAAGATAAATAAAGAAGCCAGTTTATAAATTCTGTTGATTCATTTGAAGCCAGTTCTTTCACACATATGTCATTTCACCTCCTGTTAATATAAAACTATTGATTCCTTCACTCTTTCTTTACATAGCGATAAGAAGGTTTGCACTTGATAACATTACTGTGTCTGTTTGGGTTGAATCGAGCTGCAGGTTAACCCTGTTCTGTTTTTAATGCAGTCAGCCCTGAATGATTTTTTGTTTCAGCCTTTTTTGGTTTGAAAAATGTTTAACAGGTAAAAAAAAGACTTGTACCTTTCACAGACTCCACAGACCCTCCAAAAGGATCAGACAAGGACAGCAGAACAGGAAGCATGAGTGAAGATGTGTCAGGAGATTTGAGACCTTCGATCAGCTTCTCTGAAGGCCAGAAAAGAAAAAAGTGAAAAACCTATGCACAAATATTGTGTTCTTTGTAGGTCAATGTCAAATTCATTCAAACTGCTCAGAAAAAGATGTGAAATGTGCTTAAGATTAAATCAAATTGGCAGAGTTCGAATGGATGGGTGGATCATTTAAACTAGTGGTTCTCAACCTTTTTTGGGCCAGCGCCCCCTATCCATTATCTAGAAACAATATTTGTTTCCTTTTTACTCAGATCTAGAAGCTCTTCATACTTATTGTGCAAATGTCTCAGTTGTTGTAGTTAGTTCTCAAATATTTAAATAAAGATATAAAAAACATTCTTATTTTCTCATATTTCACTAGAAAAACATGGACATTTACCTGGAGCATCTGACAGTTCAAGAGTATTGAAAGGATCTGGAACAACCAAAAGAGAGGCTCCTGAGTCCAGAATAGCAGATGGCCTTTCAGCTAGGAGACAGAGATAAAAAGGTTCATGTATGGCATGTAATAACAGATTATGTCCAATTAAATATTCAGATGATTCTGCAAACTGAGACCAAAAAGTGTTGTATTTTCATTGTGCAGTACTGCTTAAATGATAGAGGAGTTTAAATCGCTCATTTTGTCATCATGGTATCCATCTGTGTGATCAGAATGGCAGCACTGCTTAAAACAACAGACTTGTTAATAGATTTTATGTAACTCATCTTCTAGTTAGATGTGTAAATATAAACTTCTTATTTGTTTAAACTTCCCTTTTTTTAATAACAACTAGAATGTCATTAGTATTAGTCTGGATTGCAACTTTTCTATTTTCCCACTACATTATTTTTTTGTTTTAATTCATATGAAGCATTTTGAGTTTCCTTGTTGTTGAACAAATAAACTTGATCATGATTTAGCTTGCTTACAAAAGCAGCCTTCGCTTGTTTTTATAAAATACAATTTTTGAGCCCTTTGACATGAAGATTTGTGTAAAATTAGAAGTTTCAATAAAAAAAATTCACACACAATACCGGCAAATAAATTTGACTTAAGTTTTAACAAATTTAAACATTGTGACAAAAGATTTTTGAGATGCAAACTTTCGCAAAGTGATTAGTATAGAGTTCTGTATATAGTTAAGGGAAACATGTGCAGGTTCATATGTTTTCTTTCTGGATTCTCCATTTTGTTTGACTTTCAGCCAAAAACTCTGAGCTCTTGTCTCTAAACAACAACTTTACAGCAAAACAAAGAGTTATGATGACTAAAGCGTCTCACAGATACACAGCTAGAATTCTAAGCAGGTAGGAAAACTCTGAATTTGTAAATACCAGTTTCTTGAGAAATGTTTTCCACAGATGAGGCCTGCAGACCTGGAATCAGCTCTTCAGAAGGTGTTACCTCAGAATCTGACACCATGTCTGCTTTTAAAAAAATAATTATCATTCATTCATCAACAAAAGACAAAAAAAACTCAGACTAATTCTAACCTTTATTAAATGATATATTTGCTTTCTTTCCACCTCTGTAGCACAATGCATCTTGTCCGTGACTCATGGTGTAACTAAATCTTTAAAATGTTTGCTAAAAAAATAAATATTACATTCTACCTGAGGACTTTTTGTCATCAGCTTTGAATTCGTCAGCTGTGAAGCTGGAGAAGTTGTCGTCATCAAACGGGTTCCATGCAGGCTGTGTGGGGGTGTTGGAGGAACCAGAGGAAGGGACAGTGGCTGCAGCTTTGTTTTGGTCCTGAGCTGCATCGCAAAGTCTCGGCTGAACAGTGGTGTTTGGTAGAGATACATGTGATCTAAAAGAAAAAATATATATGCATATATATTTTTTGAATGCAAATCAGCTTCAATAGTGATTGAATGCAAATAAATTGTTTTTCTGTCAATTCCTAAGGTTGTATAAATGCTTCGATATCTAGATTCCTTTGTTCTTTTAACTTATTTTGAAATGTAAATATAACTTTAGGATTTTTTGGCAAATATTTTAAACTATTTTGGCTTTGTATGCTTCCCACAAAGATAAGACAATTTGCGTTTGGTCAAATTATTTCTTAAACAGTAAATTTGAGGTTTTATAAAAATGCTATTTTTATCAAAGATTTGAATGAATTTGTGAGTTCGTGACCGACTAGGAAGATGGTTTGAGTCGTTACCTTTCTAAAAAACCCAGCAGCGAGACTTGCAATGTTTTAATTGAAATGAAGAAACAAAGTCAAATGTAATTAACCTTTCTTCTGGCTGAATGTCATTTGTATTTAAAATAAAAATATGACAACATCCGCTTTTAGTTACCAGTTTTTGGTGATAAAAATTCACCTAACAAAACATGTCTGGACCCTTTTGGAATCAATCTGGAATTATTTTGAGCAGCGGTTAGATGAAATAATCATCCACAGAATGATCTTAAAATAAATTTAACATCTTCAACTTAAAATATTTCTAAATTCTTAAAAGTTGCACTTACTGGCTGAGAGCAATGTTTTCATTATCCCCCTGCAGCAGCTGTGTGGAGTCACTGACAGGAGCTGCAGCACCATTTGATGCTGCATCACTCGGCACACGTTGGTGACCTCGGTCCTCAGATGTCTTTGGAGTCTCAGGTGGAGTCTGCTCAATAGAGAAAGAGAAATAAATGCGTAATGATCAGAATTATTTTTATTACATATTTGACTTCAGGAAACGGACAGAAGACGTGAAGGTCAGAGGTTGCTTGGCCTCTTACGATCTGAGCTGATTTTTGGCTGGTCTCAGCGGAAGCAGGCTGACTTGGAGCTGGTGTCTCCTGCTGCGTAGCTGCTTCTGGTTGTGCCGGAGACGCCTTGCTCGGAGAGGGTTGAGCGTCCGGCGGCTGAGTCTGACCCGGTTGTTTGCGACGTGCTGGACGCAGAGGTGCGGCAGGGCTAGATGGAGTCTGCGCTGCCTGTGGAGGAGCGGCGCTAACCACAGAAGAAGAAGGCGTGGCCTGTTGCTGGGATGTTGGCTGTGCTTGTGGTGCAGCATCAGCTTTCGCCACTTGTGATGCTGCAGAGGCTGCCGTCTCTGCTCCAGCAGCTGCAGTCGGCTGCACAGTCTAATGCACAAATATATGTAACACGATATGATACTCCTGAAGAAGAACCAGGCCTTTTTACTAAATAACCACAATTTTATCTACATTTTCAGATGGGATAATGAAGATGATTCATCATTTCACAAGAAAAAAAAAGAAGAAAGTTTTCCTGAGTCACGGTCTGTACCTGCTTCTGTGGAGCAGCAGCCTGATTTGCGTTGGTTTGTGTTTGAATGAACGGCTGAGCTGACGTCTGTGCCTTCTGTGACTGGAGAGCTGCAGCTGGCTGGGAGAGGTCTAAACTGACTCCTGCAGGGTGACACACAGCACATCAATCAGTTTCCATTCTACACATAAACATACACAGTTTCATATAAAACTTAATTGAATTCACAGTAACATGAATCTTATTAAAAGGTTTGAGGCTGAATAATATCATTAAATAAAAGCTCATAACTCAAACCTGATATCACCTGAAGCAGTGATACAGAATTTTAAAAAAGCAGACGCTTAGTTAAACTACTTTAATTTTCAAATCCATCACCATGGGTATTTCATCTGTTCCTATTAAGACCTGCTGCACTTGACACATGCTGTAGGATTCATGCACTTATGTCATTCTTATCAGAAAGTTTTGTTTTTCTGGTGATAGAAACAGAGTAATGTGAAATACGTACCCACAGTCTGAGCTGCGGCACCAGAGAGATTAGCTCGCTTGCGAGGGGTGAGGGCAGCCGGCTGGATGGGTAGGATGCCAGCAGCGGGCTGGGTGTGCACGGCTTTGGGCCTCTGACGAGGGGTAATGGAGGTTTCAGTGGTGGGAATTGGATCTGTGAGTCTGATGACAAAAGGAAGCATAATTCCCTTCTCGTTAATCGTGGAAAAAACACTGTTAAGATAATTATTTAATGGGTATCGTGATACTGACTGTAAGTAATTAGTTCCACAAAATGTGGTATCACTACAGCTTTAAGGGTATTACAGAGTAATGAGGTCATGCTTGCCTGGGCTTAGTCTGGCTCTTCTTTGCTGCAGCAGCCTCACTTGCTTTGATTGGCTCAGGAAGTGTGGAAGGAATCGGAGAATTCTAGTTTGTGAAGAAAGAAGAAAATATTGACAAGGAAATGTGCATCAAATTTTGAATGAAATGTAAAAAATAAAGCTGAAACGTTGTTGCTGTGTGGACTCTTGCAGAGATTCTCTAAGATGACTGACTTACTGACCTCATTGGGTTTTTAAGGTCAATCATGAAAACCAAACAGCACTTAAGATTCCTCAAAAATAGAATTGAAAAAAAAATGTTTCAATAATGTTTGAAATTTAACTTTGCTAATGTTAATCTACAGATCATTGCAGATGGTATTTATTCTGATGTAAATATTCTAATCGAAAATTAGTTATGGGCAGAAAATCATCATTATTAACAGAAATAAAGGTGTTCTAATATCAGTTTTTGTTTAATTAATCTTTATAATGTGTTTCACTTGGCAATGGATACTGATGTAAAAGAAACATTTAAAAAATGTTTAGCTTTATTGAGTGGATTAAGCAGCTACAATTTTTTAGTTTGCTACAATGTTTACTTTTAAATCAGGCAGTAACTTTAAGCTGAATCACTTTACATAATCTTGTTTTCCACAGGAGAATGGTAGTGTAAATAATTATCTACTTCTATATATATCACATAATGGCGAAGATGATTTTGACATTAGAGATGTCTTAAGTCAGTAAAACTCTTCCTTCGTCTTGCTACATCTCATACTTCAGGACCAATTACTCTGGATTTTGACTAAGATATCATATTTATTTGACTTACTGGACTGGGAATCTCTGTCCTCCTCCTGTGGCTTTGCTTCCCTGCCTTTACTTTGTAAAAAAGTAGGCTAAACAGCAATCTAACATTGTGCATGTTAGGCCTTGTGTTGACCAGAGCCGCTGTTTTTGTGGAGTATGCACATCCAGCCCATGTGGCATATTTGTGTGCCACATGGGCACCATGTGGCATCAGGAAGTCACCATGAGGTCTGTGGTGCAACATTGTTGTTTGTTTCTGTGTGTGAAGTGCATTGCATGCATGTGGCTTGTATTTGTGTGGGTTAGGTTCATCCCGGCTTTGTGCGCCACAAGCATGATGCATGTTGGGAATGTGGCTGTGTTGATAGTTTTGTGCATGCCCCCTGATAATATCCTCCTGATTTTAACATTTTTACTTCCACGTTAAAAATACTGAAATATACCTTTAAGACTGCCATTTCTTTCCATAATTGATCAAATATCTTGGTTACAGACAGAGACTCACCTTCACGTTCTGAACAGGGCAAGTTCGCTGAGCTAGTTTAAAAGCAAAGTAGGACACCTGATAGATATCCGGTCTTTTATCAGGATCTGGTTCCAGCATGTAGCCTAACGACACATAATGTAGAAAAAATTAAACTCTCCAGAAATTAAATGACAAACAAGAAATCTGGACCAAGCAGAGAGCAAAGAATGTTATCTGACAGGTACTAACGAATGAGGCAGTGGAGATCGTAAGAGTAACGGGAATTATCTGGAATAGTGAAACTGCCATCACAGATGGCCACCTGGCTTTCACCAAAGGGGAGAGTGAAGAAGCACAACTTGTACAGCAGACAGCCCAGCGCCTGGAGAAAAAAACCACATGCACACCCAGTGACAGGAGAAAGAAATGGATGAGTCCAGAAACACCAAAAGCTGAGAAAACTGTAATAGTCATTTCATAAAATCAGTGCGATTCGTACTAACTTTGTAGATGTTATTGGTTTATTTGTGATTGACAATAAATACAATCACATTGTGATTAAGGTGTTATTGTCACAAATAATATTCATCCTACTCACCCAGACATCAGCCTTTGTAGTTATAATCTTATTGTTGTAGAGGTTCACCATTTCTGGAGCACGATATGATAAAGTGGTGTACCTAAGACGAAACATTAAAAATAGTAGGAATATCATATTTTATGTGCCACAGATTCTGTAAACATAGGGCTTTGACTATACGCAATACAAGTTATATATTACATCAATGAAACACTGCAGATTCTAGTTGTTGTGAAGTTAAGAGTCCGAACAATAACAAAAATTGTTAATTTAAACATAGTCTCTTTAAAATTAGTACAACTTAAAAGTTTTTAATTTGTATTTTTATATGATTGACCAACACTTAGTAGAAAATCATTGAGAAGGGAAAGGAAATTATAGTTTTTTTTAAATTACTTCAAAATAAAATCTAAAACAATGCAATTTGCATTCAGCATCATTTAATCTGATACCCAAACATAAAATCCAATGCAAATAATTGTCTTTAGAAGCCAGTAAATAAATAATAAATAGTGTCTAAGTTCATTTTGTTCTCCATGGCTTTTAAAGGTTGTGTAAAAAAACAATTGAGTTACATTATTTACAACAAGCACTCATGAAAGAAAGCTTGAGATGTTAAAAAGGCACAAACTTTTTGATTTCTTCCTCCACTGCTGCTACTCCTTCGGTCTGTGGGTTTTGGAACTTGTTTGTGGCGCTGCCAAAGTCACACAGCACGTAATGACCTTTGTCATGCAAGAGGATGTTCTCCACCTGTGAATGAGTGAACAATTATTTTACTAAGAGATCTTCAGAAAAGGCTTTGTTGTAGACAGTAGTGTTTCCAAGCAAAGGATTGATTTGAAGCATCAATTAATCACCAGGATAAAATCAGATACAAGGCTTTTACTTTGGTAAAACAGGCATCTGCGATAACATTGAGTAAATTGTACCGATTCTCTAGAAGGACTGTGGAATCTACCAACATTCAGCTCGATTGATAAACAGTAAACTAAGCACACACACACAAAAACAAGTACATTTTCTAAACCCGATGAGGAGTGATTGTTAATTTTCTTTCCAGATATAGCACATCTCTTCCAACAACTTGGAGCTCTCCAAGTAGTTGAAAATGTTATAATTATATTACTGCAAATGCTTCATTTTTAACACAATTTTTCAACATGAAACTTGAAAATACTTAGAATGTCATCAATTGTAGTTTTGGGAGAAAAACAGAAACGGGCCTATAAAACTGTAATAGTTATATCTTCAAAAGATAAAGTAATCAATCACATTAAACTACTGTCACCTTCACATTACAGCATACAAGGTTGAAGCAACGGTGAAAACAAACCCTTCACAAATTAAGTGAAGTTTTTTTACATTTCTACAGTGAAAACGTCGTATTTCCATTTTGCTCAAAACTACTGAGAGACTAGGATTTGAAATCAATGCAGCTACACGGCTCTAATTGCAGCAGGTGAAGTTATTTCAAGCATGCTAACAAGTTACATTGTCCTCTGCTATTAGACGAATGAATAATTAAACGAAGCTTCCTCTCACACCAACATACTTATCACTGCTTTTCAAAGGACGTCTCAGCAGGGTGATTCACAGAAGGAGCTGCTGCTGGGTTAACACAATTACACTGGATGTCATCTTCTTCAATATGCAGCACACAGTGGTACATTACAGGGTATTAACACATTACAGTTCAGAGAACCACCATTCACTGTATTTAAGACTTCATTTTGCAAGAAGTGTTTTATTCCAGGGCAGAACGGACGCAGGGTCGCGTTTGTGTTAGAATGATTAAATACTTAAAATAAAAACAAGGCTTGTTAGAAAGCAGCTAAAGATTTCACCTTGAGGTCTCTGTGGACGATAGGCGCCTTGCGCTGATGCAGGCGAGATACGGCATCGCAGGTGTCACAGAAGATCTGAAGCACCTCGGACTCTGTGAAGCCAGTTTGAAGTCTCTGATTCATCAGATTAACCACCTGCCCTCCTGTAAAATAATACTTGAAAATGTAACAAAGCAAACCATAGGATATTTTGCTCTAATACTTAGGCCTGTAACAGTAACAAATTTTGCTGGACAATAAATTGTCCCAGAAATTATTGCGATAAACAAGACTATTTTCATCTGATATAATGCTAATGTCATCATAATGCAAGTTTCTTGCACACCGTAAATAAAATGGATAATGATGTCTCAGTGAACAAACTTGGCAGGCATCTAAATCCATAGATTCTCATTGATAAAGGCATTCCAGCACAACCCTCACCTTTGCAGTAGTCCATCAGTATGAGAACCTCCCATACATCTCGGGATCCCATAGCCGTGATACTGGAGTCCAGATAACCAACAATATTCTTGTGGCCAACAAAGTCTTTCTGCAAGAATAACAAAAAAAAAAATGCACCATCATTAATACACTACAATGCACAAAGATTACACCGAAAAACTCAGCAAGAATAAACTGCTTTCTATTGTCAAATATAGAAATATTACTGATGATGTAACATAAAGTTATTTTCTGCAAAAGTTGCAGGTTAAGTTGAACTGTCAGTACGTAATGCAATGCAGCTTGAGGCTTTTCCCTACAAATGGAGCTGAAATAGGAAGCTGGAATCAGGAATCTATTAAGTAATGAAAAAGATTTCAAGTACTCCTGCTGAAGGTGAACCACCGTCTTTGTGTGTGAGACAAGTGAAAGTGAGAAGCGAAACTAAGAGAGCCTGTGAGGTTAAGAAAGCAATCATGGGCCAACAACATGTATGATTCCACTGGAAGATTATGGATTGATAGGATCTGGCTTGTTTGTAATCTCAGCGTCCATTGCTTCCTTCCTTCCTGAGTTCCTCAGCACAAAGAAGACAAAGTCTTATGTAGACTCTAAACTCAAAGAAGGCTTCCAGACTTTCCAATATTAACATTCAGTCAAACTTTTTGCCATGACATCAAGGCTATAATATTCCATAGTGCAGAAGTTAGTGCATGAGAAAACAGAAAACATTTTACCAGTGTCAGCCTGAGAATAGAAACAAACCAAAAAATAAGGCAAAAAAAAAAATTAAAGATAGTCCTTGTTTTTAGAGGGACAACTAAGATTATTAGACGCCAAATCTGAATAAGGTTTATTGGTAAAATAAGTTTTCATGTGCTATAAAAAATTCCACACAGTTTACATACTTAACCAATATTACATGGATTTTATCTACTGTCAACATGAAATCCTACTAGTTTCCTTTTGTGTTCTGAGGCAGAACATCTCAAAAGCCCTCATTATTCATGGTTATGGTTCGTTTGTGTTAGATGGATGGCTGAGTCAAGAAAATCATTCAAGAAGTTTCAAGAACATACAACAAAAGCCCTGAATGTACATAAATCTACAGGCAGAGGCAAAGTTTTCAAGTTTAAAGGCAAAGGAGTAAAAAGGAGGAAGGACAGTGTCCAAAAAGTGCCATCAGATTCATCAGGTGGTCAAAAATGTTCAATTGAGGTTTCGATTTCCACAAGTGACCAGAAAGAAAATAAAGAATTTGCAATTCTAGAAGGAAAGAATCAAATCTGAGATTCTTTGTGGCCATTGGATTAGTATTAAGTCTGGGGGAGGAAGTATGACATTTAAGCTAAAGAAAACCCTGACAAGTCACAGGGAAGCATGGCAGTGGCTCAGTGATGTTCTGGCACCGTTTCATTTTCTATGACTTTGCGTGTCGAAGGCAAAATGGATTCAAATAGGTATCAGAAAATCTAGATTCTCATGCTGCTGTGCAGTTTGTGAGGAAGCTAGTGCTGATCTGAAAGAAAACATTGTGGAAGACACTAGAAAAGCCATCATAGTTGTTTGATGAGCTCAACTGAATATCTCTGATTGGATTTGAGCAATATATCTGTAGTTTGCAAAATAAAGAAGATTAATGAACTGGAGATTTTTTCCCCATGAGGATTGAGATAAAGTTACTGAGGAACAATGGCAGAAGATGTTCGTATCCCATCTGCACTCGATCATGACATCTAAAAAGACTCCACAAAGTGTTTCAAATGGAGGGTTTAAATCATTTTGAGACTGTATAAAATAAAAGAAGCTTCTACAGTTTGATTTGAAGTACTTGTATGATTAGCTGTTTGGAGCAGCATACATTGTTAAAGTTTGATTTGTTTACTACAAATAGCTAATAATTTGTTTGCTTCACCAATACACAAAATTTCAAATGGGTGTTAATTCATGTAAGGGGCTATACCAGTGTAAATGTAAAAAACATTTTTAAAATGTTCCTACATCAAAACAACTAGAATTCCTACTCCTGCAGTGAAAGTGCTGCTGTAAAGTTTTGCTTCCCCTCTGACAACAAACGCCAGTCAGATGATTCAAGAAAGAAAACCACATTTGCTTTTCCCTCTGAAATAAAAACACCAGATAATTTTTCTTTTATACATTTGTTTTAAATATTTGTGTTCATACAATAACACTGGTTGTGTTTTGTTTTTTTTTCCAAAATCAAAGTTATCGTAGTCTGAAAACTTAAATACCAGTTAATTTTTGTTTGTCATGCTTGTACTAAATTCAGCACCTTGCTCGAGGAAGGCATTCTGCATGGGTTTCTCTTTATAAACACTTCTGTTTTTCCTGTTGTTCTCACGTGTGGTTTTACCCGAACCACAAAAAGCAAAGCATGAGAACAAACAATGAAAACGTTTGTCCAAAACCACTCACCATAATCTGAATTTCCTGCTTGCACACCTGCAGATCATGCTCATTGTTGACGTACATCCTCTTCAGGGCACAACGCACCCCTTGGTTTGTTTTCACCAGGAACACAATAGCAAAGCCACCTAGAATAAATGAAAAAGAAGAGTTGTCACATTAAACCGTCAACCAGATATGATAACAAGCAGACGGAAATCATTAGCATTAGATACAGATGTAAAATTCAGAGTAGATTTACAAAGTACTCAACTCCACAATGACGTTGCACATCAAAGCTTTCAGACTGCATCTCTGTTCTAGCAGATGAGCCTTTTTTTTGCCTCATTATGTCAAACAACTGTCAGTGTTTGTCCTTTACATCAGAACGAAGGATCAGGACCACATGGTGCTGCCTTATAGCGTTATCTATTAGTCATGTCGTTGCTGGAGGGTTAAAGTAGAGGCCTACAGTGAGGCCCAACCATCTGGTACGGCTCAGGCCGCATATTCATTCTGCTGAGTTTAGCTGCGACACTCTCATCAATTTCAGACAACCACAGACAGATCTGCATGGAGCATATCAGATGACGGATGAGGATATAAATAAGATTGTGATGCACATAATAAGGTAAACATATACATTCTGATTAGCTGAGCTGACTCATATCATAGGAACCTTGGAAAATTGTTTTCAAATGCTTGATCAGATGGAGCCCAGACACACCACACTAAAAAAGGAAAATGTGTTTAGTTCATAAAAAAAGAGAGAACTACAGATCTGAAATGTTTAAGTCAATGATGCCAACTTTATCTCCAGATCACAATTACAAGAAACAAAAGTTGACTTCACAATTTAGCCAAACAAAATTAATAAAAATAACAAAAAAAAAATGAATGAAAAAACATTTTAAAAAAGGGCTTTCATAAAACAATGGAGTTAAATTTAAATTTATGGACTCAGAAGTAGGAATATGTAGACAGGTGCACAATGTTTGACAGCAGCAAATGTAGTCCATGTTTCCTCTATGCAATTGATTCCTTGAGGGTGCATTAGTTCTTTTCTTGCTTTCCTGCATTTACACAGACTAAACAATTAAACTACTTGGGGGTGTGGAAGGTGTGTTATCCTTCTAGCTCCAGACAGGCTTCAACAGTCCAGCATCAGCATTTTCACCTCATGACTCTAGGTTGCAATTTGCTTACCGCTGCTTGTTAGAGTGAAAATGACAGTAGCTACTGTAAACATTCATTTTGAGAGCATAAAGCAACTGCCTGGCGCCTGCTAGTATCCATCTTTGAACCATAATAGCAGAGTAAAGATAAGAGAAACGGTGAGGAGCTTTGTTTAGGTACAATAAATTAAAATGTTTGTGATGCCTGTGTGGCAGACATAGTTCTGTTGTAGTGGTGTTAAGTGTCTCAAAATGAGAAAAACACACAAGCCCCTATCAGGCTTTCTGCTCAGGGCAGCAGGGCATGAGGGGCGGCATGAAGCAAGCAAACAAAAAATGCTTCTTACTCCCTGAATGATTGTTTTTCATCCCCAACTGTTAAAGACATAAAGTCTCTTTGGTGGGGAGTAAAGGTCTGGATTTTGTTCTGATGAGCCCAGAATGAATCATCTGTTATTCACTATGTTAAATATTTTAGATAATTAAGTTATTCTTCTTATTTTTGTCAGAAAAGAGTGACCTGAATGACACGATCTGTCTGTTCTGTGGACTCCCTCTCTCACCTTCAGCAATGATCTCCTCCACTGTGACTTGGTGCCGCCCGACAGTGAAGGCTCTGCCAATGAAATTTCCTCCGGCGTGACTGGACCCAGAGCTGCTGCCCCCTCCTCCTCCTCCAGAACCAGGCCCGGAGCTCACCAACTCCCGACGGGAATCAAAGAACTTCCTCATGATGTCGAAATGACAGCAGGGAAGAAGAAGTGGTCCTGGCCCTCCTGTCGCTGTGATGTGCTGGCTTGTTGCAGTGATATATTATATCCCCGGATCCTCGTGTAAACTTATCCAGAGTCAAAAAAAATATGCACGCAATACCTCTTTCACTTGTGGTGATGATGTGAGATTCTTTTAGGGGAAATTTCCCATTTGTTCGCCAACACAAGCCAGCTGGTGATAACTACAGAGCGGTTATGTAAGTGTATTACACCGCCCAGGAGGTTAAAGCATCTCCGGAAAAGTGCTCCTTTTTACCAACCAGCCAGCTGTTCATGGTCGGCTGCTGAGGAAAAATAGGTCCATCTCCATCTCGTCCAGCCGTTACCGAGCTAGCTAAGTGCTAGCTGCTAAGGCGCTATGACATTTCGTGTAAGGTTATCCAGGTTATCCTCTGAAGAAAACGTCTTCAAACGCGGCGTATCCTTCGAGTAACTGCGACAGCGATGCCCAGAAAGCCGTTTCCATCCTTCAGGAAAGTGCAGCGGCGGTTTGTTGCCTCACAGCTTACTGTCTGTGGGGCTATTTAATTTCTTCCATTTGTGTGTGTGTGTGTGTGTGTGTGTGTGTGTGTGTGTGTGTATAAATATATATTTATATATGTATATATATAAAAACTATATGGTTTCCGTTGGCTGACGCCTTCAGCGCAGGGCAGCCCCCAATAAGCGTCGAGTTGAGAGGAGACGAATCTGCGTCCGCTGCAAGTATGTAAGCACTGCGTCTGTCATCCGCTAAAACGGTACCGACTGAGGTTTCGACACAACCGTCTAATCTCTGCAACCACAGCAATCTTTGGCTGCCAGCATTATCGCAACATCCGAGCTGTTGCTGTTGACGCACACGGTGACTTGTGGGTACTGTAGTTCAGAGAGCTCCGTCGCCCTCTCGCGCTTGTGTACTGCCGTGTGAGGTCATTTGCTGCGTTCACGTCACGTGGGGATATTCACTGTTGGATCGTGGAACAACAAGCCCCCCAAGTGTCAATGTACAAATATTTGCCCTATATTTCCAGGTTGATAATGACATGATGAAAAATTATATAATTTATTAAATGCATTCATATTTTCTAGAAATTTCTTTATTTTTATTATTACTATCAGGGGTGGTTGGTAGTAACTAGATTTACTTAAATAATTTTTGGGGGGTAAAAAGGCAGACATACTAAGGAGTATTTTTATTATACTGTATTTTTGAATTTTTATTTAGTATGCATTATCGCTATTCTTATTTCTGGATAAACTACCCAGTGTATTCTTTATTCACTGAATAAAGAATAAACGTGTTTTTGTAAAAACAAAATGCCCCACACACAGACACAAACCAACATTTTACGTTTACGTGACAGTTCTTCTTTAAGCTTTGCAGTTCTAGCGTTTTGTTTGTTTTTCTTTTCATTTTCTTAGCCTGTTGTACCATTTTATAAATCTAGAAGAGACATTAAGCATTCTAACATAAATATACATTAGCCTGCATGCTTTCTGTAAATATTAGTTTAATATATTTTATATAAAAACATTAGATGTAGGAAAGTGTTTCTCCTGCCTAAATGTCTAAAATTTTTTAGATATTAAGTCAAATATTCTGATCAGTTAGTCAGTACACAAAAAACCCTTTGTGCAAAATATGTTTTTACTTTTATTTGAGTAAAAATATTGTAGTAGTTGCATATTATTCACACTTTGCTGACTATTTATGTATTTAATTTGTCTGTCAGTGAGAAAGATGCTGACCAATTTTGGAGTCCAGTTGATACGATGACAATAAAGACTATTCTGTTGTAATGATAGCGGCTATGCTTTCATCTGTGAAACTCTCAGTTACTTCACTTAGTCGCTTTAATTTCCAATACTATTAAAGAAGTCTTAAATATTGTGATCACTCTGTTGATAATAGTATTTCTGTTAATGATGTTTGCCATGCCCAACCTTATCAGCTGCAGGTTCTTTGAAACTTGCAGCTGTAATTGCAGAGAAAGATATTTCTACATGGCATTGTCTTGGGAGGAGGTCTACAAATGCACGCTACAACGTCAGAAGTAAATCCACAAAAATTCAGAATGCTATTTTTTCACTACTTACTATGTTTTGTTAGTCGGTCTCGTAAAATCCCTGCAGAATACTTATTTGTTGTTTAAACATAACAATTTTTATCAATGTGTCAACTTTTACTTAGACACAATGTAAAATGGAACAGGAATGCATTCACCTATAACTTTATATTTAGCAGCCTCCACATCCCACACTAACTCTTACATTTGTGTCGTAGCTGCTCTCATCACACATTTTACATGCTGGTTGGTCTTATTTTGGTCATTGTACACCTTTTTTAATCTATTCTGTGTCATTTTAAAGACACTTTGTGTCATGCAGTCCTTGTTTTGAGTCTCATGTTGGTTAGATTGCTCCCAGGTCACATTTGGGAATTAATGAGTCTCATTCTTGGTTTAGTGGAATCAATTTTTCTCTGGTGTAATGTACATTATTACATTTATGTACTATGGAGTGCTTTCGAGCTTTCATCTTTAGCAACTTCTAAGTGAGTATGACGATAAAGGAGGGATATATTGGGAAATGGAAGTCTTCACAAAGACATTGCAACATTTAGAGTGAGGAAACTGGGCATAAATCCTGAAGGACAGCTTTATGGCACTGCAGAAATGTTTTGAGGTTTGTGTGTATTTTATCTTTGTCTTTTTTTTCTATTTGTCACAAGTCCTTTGTTTAACTTTCCCCCACATGTTTTATCCTCTAGCTTTTTGTCTGGTGGTGGGAACTATTTAGTATTATCTTAATCTGTTGTCTTTATCGTATGACATGATATGCAGTGATACATCTGAAAAATCTTGGTGCTGTCAGTATTGCAACAAAATTCCAGGAATTTTATTGAAATGTTGACAATAAATTGAACATTTGAATTTATTCAAATATTTACAAATTTCCAAATTTAATTGGAATATAAATTTCCAACTAAATTTATATTTAGTTGGAAATATAAATTTTGTTCCTGTGCAAAATAATTTCTGGACTGACCCCCTGCATTGAAAACTCTTTTAAAGAGGAGTAAAAAGCATTAAAAATAATTGAATATTTATTTTTGCAGTATTAGAATAAAGTTGGGAACAGTAAATCAGAAGACTGTTGCAACTAAACACAGAGCAATCCTGGACAAAAACAAAAAACCTGTAAAAAAAAAAAAAAAAAAAAAAAAAAAAAAAAAAAAAGACTTTACAGTGTTTTTAAAAATGGGTATCGTGGCCACCAGGGGGCACCAGATGGGGCTCAGAGAGCTGGAAGATGGAGGAAAAAAATGCAAGTTAAAGAAATATACAATAAATTTAATAGTATTTTATTATTTATAAAAATATGTGACCTTTGTCAGTCATTAGCTGAAAATTATTAATATGTTATTTGTCAAACTCTATTGTTTGCCAGACATGTTTATGAAGCTGCTTTGCTCCTGAAGTTAGCAACCTCAAAATGAGCCAGAAAAGACAGAAGAACCTGTCCAAGGGAGGACTTCTGGAAAAACCCTAAGAACTCATGGGCAACTAAAATAAGAAAGTATAGGCAGCTAAAAGTTAAACTGTATTTTGAGTAGTGAATAAAAGTGAAACAGAAAACTCTTAAAGATGATATTTCTGTACCTATTTTTGGGTCAGCAAAAGGAATCCAATGAGATATTGATGGGGTTCTGCTGATTTAATATTTAAAAACAATGTTATTGGACAAAAGCAAGTTATGTTAAATGATAAAATAAGATAATTACAAATAACAAATTCAGGGTAAATCAAGACTTTGCATTTTTGTTTGAAAAAAGATTATTCTTTATTGATGGAATTGAGTCGCAACGGTGTGTACTCCTAATAGTAGAGTTTTTTCATAATATTTTAAGTAAATAAGTAAGTACTTAAGTATGTATACCTGGTTGCAACAGAGCAACATGAAATCCCAATGAAATCCGTCTGAGTTTGTGTTTTGAACGACTAAATACCTGGTTGAGATTATTTAGACCGCAACAGCGCCCCCTGGAGTCACAGCAAGTAAACACAACTGAGCGCGAGCTGTGGCGTGCGCGCGTAAGCGGTGTTAGAAGTGGGTGGTCCGTGGACAAGGCTGCAGTTAAAAGCTACGGTGAGTTGCTCTTGTCTCTCTACCTTCCTGTGGGGCTTCAGGACGAAAGCACTCTCAGACCAGGTGAGACGAAACTCAGAGTTCTTCGGGTTCCGCTCTGTAAAAGTTTTCTTCAGGCAGCCGCTTTTCCCTGTGCAGGGCGTGCCCAGGGACCTCAACGCCAACTTATCGATGTCTTCTTCCTCATATACTTTCGGCGCCGTTTTGTATTAAAGTTTACAGTTTATAGGTTCTGCAAAAGATGACACCGTTATTACACAGTTGCTGCGATTATGAATAGATTTCGACTGCAGTCATAACTTTGTTGTTCAGCTCCGCTTGATTATTCTACGTGTCACTGTTGTTCAATTTCTTCATTTACCTTCCTTAAGTCCTGCCAATCCAGTTTCTAATTGCTTTCCAAGAACCGACGCTATATATTCATGGAAACGGAAATGTAACTTTTGTGTTTTCTCTGAACTACATTTACAATGTATACACGTTTGCATAATTTTGAATACACGGCTGGATCTGAAGGTTTTTCTGCAGGATAATTGTCTGTGTTCCAGATGCAGAATAAACTTCGTCATGGCTTACAGTTGGCACATGCTGAGTGTGAAAATGTCTTGTGATCGCATGCAGAATATTTTCACAACAAGCCACTCTGTGGGGCTGTTTCCTGAATTTAGACCACAGTGTCTAAATGTCTCCATAAAATATGCCAATATATTTTTGTACAATAAGCTTTTAATCACAGCAAATCAAAGTGTTGTTAGTTTGCACACAGCAGACTGATGAATCGCAGTGTTCCATTTTAATTTGATGTAACATTTTAAAATATGCAATGGGAATGTCTTTCCATTATGTCTCTTCTTAAGGGAGTAATTACAGATGTGTTCAGATAAACAAACACTTCATGGGATTGTGCAGCACTAGCACTGAAATGGGACCCTGGAGCGCATGGCCCACGAGTGTGATGGAAACCCTCTTGTAGATAATAAACCAAATAAAATATTTATCAGAGGTTAACAAGGGAAGCCTTCAAACCTGGCACCATCTTTTTACCTCCTTGGATTGTTTCCTCTTACTTTGTTATAATCTCTTTCATGTACTATGAGCTGCTTATTATTTATTTGCATTTTTTATTTTTTTATTTCAGCTCTCCAGACCTTCAGACCAGATACACCATCATTCAAAAATGGCAGCAGTAAGTGTGTTCTTTGTAAGCTGCTTTTCCTAAGCATCGTAACCACCAGTAGTATTTGCATGTATTTGGAAGACTTTAGACCTATTGTCTAAAGCCAGTTGTGCTGCTTTACTATTATTTTTGCAGCTGGTAGAGTGAGTACATTTCTGTCTTTGAGTTTTAAATGGAGATCAGCCTAAAATGTGGCAAATACTGTAGTTATGTCAATCATTTTACAGAAGTTGCAACACTTTAAATTGCTAAA